AATTCTTCTCAACTCTAGATGAAAGTTTTCATACTTCTCTTGGCAACAGTTCAACTCTCCAAGTGATGGGGAAAGAAACCGTAGATATCAAGACTAGAAATGGCTTTGTAGAGTCTATTTCTAATGTATTTTAGATTCCTAATCTGAAGGCCAACTTACTTAGTATCGGTCAGTTACAAGAAAAGAGGTATGTGATCACATTCCAAAATGATGAATGAGAAATTTATGACTCCGAAAGAGGATCTATTGCTAAGATGAAGATGACCACCAACCGTCTATATCTGTTGACGTTAAATATTGTTGCCAAAAGTTTGATGGTGAAGAAAGAAGATACCACCTGGCTTTGGCATTTTAGGTATGGTCATCTACACTTTAAAGGATTAAAGACGTTGTCCTCAAAGAAGATGGTAACTGGGTTGCCAGATATTACTCCACCAACGGAAATTTGCGAGAGCTGTGTAGTAGCAAAACATGAAAGAAACTTTTTTCCATCCGGAAAATCAAGAAGAGCTCAAGCAATTTTGGAGTTGATTCATTCGGACATATGTGGTCCCATCTCTCCAGCATCAAATGGTAACAAGAAATATTTCATGACCCTCATCGATGATTTTAGTCGAAAAACATGGACTTATTTCTTGCACGCCAAATCAGAAGCCTTTGATTGCTTCAAAAAAATTTGTGCTACTATGAAGACGTAAACTGGAAGAAGAGTCAAGGCTTTAAAAACTGACAGAGGTGGAGAATTCTGCTCGAACAAGTTTATTCAATTTTGTGAAGAGAAGGGCATACGGAGGCAGTTAATAACAGCATATACACCACAACAAAATGGTGTGGCCGAAAGGAAAAACAGGACCATTCTCAACATGGTTCGAAGTTTACTAAATAAAGGAGAAGTCCCGAAGGAATTCTGGCCAGAAGCGGTTGTGTGGTCCGTTCACATTCTCAACCGGAGCCCTACTTCTTCTGTTAGAGATATGACTCCACAAGAAGCATGGAGTGGAAGAAAACCTGCAGTAGACCACTTTAGAATCTTTGAGTGCATAGCATATGCACACGTTCCTGATGAGAAAAGGAAGAAACTTGAGGACAAGAGTTTGAAGTGTGTGTTCCTTGGAGTAAGCGAGACCTCTAAGGCGTACAAGCTCTATGATCCTTTGACAAAGAAGGTGGTGGTAAGTCGTGATGTAGTCTTTGACGAAAAGAAAACTTGGACATGGGAAGAAAAGATCACTGTGAATCAGCAGATTCCTGTAGATCTTGAAGAAAAACAAACTAAAGCTCCTATTCAGCCTCACTATGAGCATGGAGAAAGCTCATCACAAGCTCAACAAGAAGAACCAGTAGAAGAAGATCATGATCATAATCAAAGACATCCAATAACAAGAAAGAGACCAAACTGGATGATTGATTATGAGATGAACTATGAATTAAGTGATAGTGATTATTTTGCATTCTTTATGGATAGTGATCCAATTGTCTATGAAGAATCAGTAAAGAAGAAGAAATGGAAGGAAGCTATGGACAGTGAAATCAAATTCATAGAGAAGAACAAGACTTGGGAGCTCACTGATCTTCCTAGAGGGCAGAAAACAATCGGAGTAAAATGGGTTTTCAAAACCGAGTTGAATGAAAACGGTGAGGTGGATAAGTACAAGGCGCGACTTGTTACAAAAGGATACAAGCAAAAGTATGGAATTGATTATAAGGAGGTATTTGCACCAGTGGCACGTCAAGACACTATCAGGCTCATAATTTCTATTGCAGCACAGAAATCTTGGCCTATTTATCAACTTGATGTGAAATCGGCCTTCTTATATGGAGAGCTTCAAGAAGAAGTATATGTGAAGCAACCAGAAGGTTTTGTTCAAAAAGGCAAAGAGGAACAAGTATACAAGTTGAAGAAAGCTTTGTACGGTTTGAAGCAAGCTCCGAGGGCATGGTACAGTCGCATTGATTTTCATTTTGAAAAGATGGGATTCACTAAATGCCCGTATGAACATACGTTGTATGTGAAAACTGAAAAGGGAGGTAACATTATCATTATTTGCTTATACGTTGATGATTTAATATTTACTGGCAATAATGAAGAAATGTACTTCAGGAATTTGAAATGACGAATCTTGGCTTGATGAGAAATTTTCTTGGAGTAGAAGTTACTCAAACTCCCGCAGGTAACTTTATCTGTCAGAAGAAGTATGCTCAAGAATTACTTGAAAGATTTAAATTGGATGAGCGCACATTTGGAACTCCATCAGAATTGGGTTTAAAGTTGCACAAGGATATTGACGGGCGAGAGGTTGATAATAGGTACTTCAAACAAATTGTGGGAAGTTTAATGTACCTAACTTCAATAAGACCAGACATCATGTATGCGGTTAGTATGATAAGTCGTTACATGGAGCATCTAACGGAAAAACATCTCAATGCAGCAAGAAGGATACTTCGTTATGTGAGAGGAACCTTTGATTTGGGGGTATTCTACAAGAAAGGAGATGATCCGAAGACGGTTGGCTATACAGATAGCGACTATGCATGTGATATAGACGATCGTAAAAGTACTTCAGGAAGTATTTTCATGATGAGTTCAGGAGCTATTTGCTGGTCTTCAAGGAAGCAACCTATTGTAACACTTTCAACTACAGAAGCAGAATTCGTGGCAGCAGCAGCATGCTCGTGCCAAGCAATTTGGTTAAGAAAAATGCTTGAAATTCTTAATCAGAGCAACCAGGTACGACGGTTATATATTGTGATAATATGTCAACTATTAAGTTGTCCAAAAATCCTATGTTGCATGGAAGGAGCAAGCACATCGATGTTCGATTTCATTTCTTGCGTGATTTGTGTAAAGAAGGCATTATTGAACTCAACTTTTGCTGAAGTGATGAACTAATCGCAGATCTATTCACAAAGCCCTTGAAACAACCATTGTTCGAGAAGCTTAGAAGAAAGATGAGGATGTGCAGAATCCAAGATGTATATCAAGAAGATGAAGTGAAGTCCTAAACTGATTTCCGCAGAATTCAGTTTAAGGGAGGGTGTTGAAGCTAATAATAGAAGTTTGAATGAGTTACTCAGAGGAGAATTCAATTTCATCCACAAAAATCTCAACCAACTCTGGGAATCCCCTGTAAAAGGACCTCCCTCCCCATCATTCAAATCACTCCTCTCAATCTCACTTCATTTTCTGTTGTCACCGATATAATATATATTATATAACTTTAAAATATTTTTGATATTTCAAAAAAAATTTAAAAATACCATAATATAACTTGTTTAAAATAATAATTAATATATGTTTTCGTTCATAATATTTGAATTTTTTATTTATTATTTATTTTAGTTCTTCAAATAATTGATTTAATCTATTATTTTAAATTTTAAATTTATTATTTTGATTTAATTTATTATTTTAAAATTTTAATTGAGAATTTTGATTTAATCTATTATTTTAAAATTTTAATTTTTTTTTTAATGTTTTGTAAATTAAAAACCAATAAAAATAATAATTATTACTTTAAAATTAGAAGATTTTTTAAAAAATATTTGGACATTATTTTAACCTTATTTTTATTATTATACAAGCTTAATATTTAATTTTAATAATAATATCTTAATATTTTAAAAAATAATTAAATTTAATATATTTTGTACCATATATATTCTATTTTTTTTTATAAATATTTTCTATTTTCATTATTTTATTTAATTAAAAGTGTTTTTTTTATAAGTTATAAAAAATTATATATAATATTTTCTTATGAAATCCATCCTATATTAATTGGAAGTTTAAAAATCTTTTATATCATTTTAAAAATTCAAAAAGTTCCACGTCGACTAATTTAGAGAATGATCATGAGTTTATAATGAAGGAATACTCCATTGGAATGAAGCTTTTTGGGAAGCCCAAAGCAAAGTCATGAGAGCTTTCGCTCAAAGTGGACAATATCATACCATTGTGAAGAGTCATGTTCATCCAACAATAATAATGTGGAGCTACGCAAAATCGAGTCAAGCTGTGGTTAAAGGGCACAGGTCAAGCTGTGGCTAAAGGGCACATGTCAAATTGCAGGGTCAAGTGGGTCGATGATGAGCACAGGTCAAGTTATGGCTAAAGGGCACAGGTCAAGTTGTAGGGTTGTCGATGATGGGCACAGGTCAAGTTGTGGCTAAAGGGCACAGGTCAAGTTGCAGGGTCGTCGATGATGGGCACAAGTCAAGTTGCAGCGCCAAATCGAGTCAAGTTGTGGCTGAAGAGCACAGGTCAAGTTGCAGGGTCGTCGATGATGGGCACAGGTCAAGTTGCAGCGCCAAATCGAGTCAAGTTGTGGCTGAAGAGCACAGGTCAAGTTGCAGGGTCGTCGATGATGGGCACAGGTCAAGTTGCAGCGCCAAATCGAGTCAAGCTGTGGCTTAAGGGCACAGGTCAAGTTGCAGGGTCGTCGATGATGGGCACAGGTCAAGTTGCAGCGCCAAATTGAGTCAAGTTGTGGCTTAAGGGCACAGGTCAAGTTGCGACGTGGAAGTTTGTTTGAATGTTTCGAGTTTGACCCAGTCAATTTACGACTCACACCCAACTTACAACACTTACAACAAGACTGTGAGAAGAGCTCTATGAAGTTAAAAAAAAATTTGACTTGTCTTAGCCTTTAGAGTTCTATGAATTTTAAAAAAATTGACCTGTTATACAACCTCAATCCGACATGTCGCAGGTAAAGACTTGTCTTAGCCTTTTATACAACCTCAATCCGATATGTCGCAGGTAAAGACGGATTTAATCTCCTTTTTGTCCTCCATAAAATTGTTATTAATTATTTATACTTTATGAAAGCTTTGGACACGTGGCGTAGTGAAATTACCTTTTGATAGAGGTCGGAAGTTCTACATGGGAGGGTAAAAGAGTCAAGAGTGGTTAAGGCACAAGATTCTAGTCTAGCCCAGCTTCAGCCACTATATAATACCCTGTTTTCCCATTCTCGATTTTTTTCATGAACTCAGAAATCTTCAAGAGTCATCTCCTCTGTTTTCTCTCTAGCCTTAAAATCACCAGGTATCAATTGTTCTCCTTCAATTTGTAGTTTTCCCTTTCGAATTTTTGTTTTCAGTTCTTGACAGAAGAATGAAGATTTCGTCATTTCGCGTGTTGATTCTCTTTTTCATTTCGATTTTTGTGTTAATTTTGATAGCATGGTGATGATCGATGACTGCGATTATGCCTCCATAGGTTATTCTTCTCTATCACTATTTTAATCTATACGCTGCTCTTTCTACTGTGTGATGCAATTTTTGTTGCCATTTATTGTTATCCTTTTCAAGATTTTGTGCTTACTGTTCACGACGAAGGAGACGATGAGTAGCAGAAATAGTCGCACTATCTATGTTGGAAATCTTCCTGGAGATATTCTTTTGAGTGAAGTAGAAGATCTATTTTACAAGGTTTGATATCCTCGAATGCATACTTGTTTTGGTGAAATTTTTGTTTTAAAGTATTCGAGAGTTCTTGTTGTTGTTTTGAAAATTTTCCGACTAATTCTAGTTTACTTGCAGTATGGACGTATTGTCAACATTGATTTGAAGAATCCCCCACGCCCACCAGGCTATGCTTTTGTTGAGGTGAGATTTAAACTTGGCGCATTTGGAACTCTGGCTCTGTGGATGGAACATTTTCATCTGAGTCCCTAAAAATGTTTTTTGTTATCATTTTGGGTGTGGTATTCAAAGAATCCAAGTAGTTGCACTGAGCTGTTGGTGATCCTTATGTAAAACTTTTATTGCCTTCATATTTTTCAGTGTGAAGATATTCATGATGCTGAAGACGCGATTTATGGTTGAGATGGATATAAGTTTGACGGATATCGATTACGGGTACTAGTCACAATGCATGCTTGCTGATATTATTCCTCTATGATGTTTTATCCTCGTATAGAATTGTGAGATCCCACATTGGTTGTGGAGGAGAACGAAACATGTTTTTATAAGGGGTGGAAACCGTCCTAGCAGATACGTTTTAAAAACCTTGAGGGGAAGTCCGAAAGGGAAAGCCCAAAGCGGACAATATCGGTTAGCGGTGAGCTTGCAGATAAGAAAACTTGATGCATTTGAATGGGTAACAGTCTCTGTTTTGGGTTTTGCGTTCCTATCTTAATGCATTTGCCTGGTGCTTTGGTTCTATTCTTTATGAAATGGATGATGTCAAGTCTAGGCTTGTGTGTTGTTCCCATTGATGAAGATGTGGAGAACTTGGCTTCGATACCCCGACAACCTTGATGCCGATATTCTTTCCTTATTCATGATTTCCCAATTGTTGCTAACACTTGTGGAAAAGCTTGTTGAGTTGTACTGTCGTAATCTCGTGCAGTCGGTCAAGAATTATTTTCTCCGAAACATGCTGTTCTATAGTACCTAAAACTTTGTTGCACATTAATTCTACATTAGTATGTGTGAGATCCCACATCGGTTGGGGAGGAGAACGAAACATCCTTTATAAGGGTGTGGAAACCTCTCCCTAGCATACGCGTTTTAAAAACCTTGAGGGGAAGCCTTGAAAGAAAAGTTCAAATAGGACAATATCGGCTAGTAGTTGTTACATTATGGGTTAGAGTTCGTGTGTTCTTCCCACTCCCCCTGTCTTGCCACTGACTGTTCATCCGCTTGGATTCTATATTTCTAGTCAACTGTTGACGACATAGGAGGAAGAGTTGAGAATATGCCTTCGTTGTCGAATGTGGATCGCCATCATTTCAACTTTTGGCTATAGACCCAGAATTTCCTAGGTACTCGATATCGTTTATCTCTTTTTCCCAGGTCGAGATCAAGATCAGGATCGCCAGTTTCATATGTGAGTAGGAAATGGAATATATATAGCCCTCCCCTTTCTTTGGATTGTCTTAGGGACTTCCCTTCTGTTTCTCATTGTTTCATTGATTGCAGCGTCGACAAACCTCCGAGTCGGAGCAGATCTCGGTTCAAGTACAGAAACATATCCAGATCCCTTTCACCTAATGTAAGATCCTGATACAGACATGCATATTTCTTAGAACAAAGATAACAGTATGTCCAGACTTGGTTTCTTTTAAGACGTAATAACGAATATGAACTCCGACTTAAGCAGGTGAGCCCGGTTCGAAGCTATAGCCGATCGGTTGATTCCAGGTACTGATATTCAGAATAGAACATTGTTGTTGTGATGGTTCTTGGATAGGATAATAAAGGTTAGGAGAAAAGTCTTTGATGATGTTTATGTTTATAATGTGAGATGAGATATAATTCACTGTCTTCATTGGGGCTGTTATTCTCTTGTCTTCTAAATCTTATAGATGTACTTTTCTGTCTTTTCCTTTCCCTTTTTCGCATTTTTATTTCGCCGAATAATTTCTCGAGAGCTCGAGATGCAATATTACTTCAGGTCTGTTTCTTTTTGTTTTGTTGTTAATAGAACGTGAGATTATGCTTGATTTTAGGAGTGTTCATATGACTCAATAACCTGATTAGTTGAGAGTTCTAATCACTCGACCTAATTATGACGTCTAGAATTGATATTAGTGATGCATTGTTATTTGTGAATGTTTGATATTTGAGTTTAGCTTTTAGTGATTAATATAACATCATTATAGATAAATATTTATAAAAAAAACAACCTGATAACGATCCTCTATTAAGAATTCGGCTGTGAATTTTGTATGAGTTGTGGTTACTAATCCAACTAACTCAAAATTTCAGATTGATCCAAAAGATTTTTTTCGATCGACCCTACTTGATATCTATGGATCAATACGATTAAAAAAAAAATATATATATATATATATATATATATCGCTTCTTAGATAAGTGTAACGACTTAGATCCACTGCTAATCGATATTGTCCTCTTTGGGCTTTCCTTTCAGGCTTCCCCTCAAGGCTTTAAAACGTGTCTGCTAGGGAAAGGTTTCCACACCCATATAAATAAAGGTTTGTTCTCCTCTCCAACCAATGTGAGACATCATAATCTACTCCTGATATGAACCAAGAGACATTCATCATAACATATGATTCAATGAAGTTGAGAAGAAAATATTGTTGAAATTATCTTATTATCAAAAGATATTTCAATTCATTCACATTGAAAAAGAATGAAGTTTCATGTTATAAATTTTGGGTAGATTACAATTTAGAGTTATTGTATTTCATTAATGTATTTTAAGACTATTTATTTACTTTAGGTTACATTTACATAATGGCTAATTATGGTCATTAAGTATGAATGTTACAACTTTTGGTATGTCTTCCCTAGTTTCATTTTGAGGCTATATAAAGCCATGTATGTTGTATTTGTAAAGCAGACTTGGAAAATATATTAAAAGAAGCATTTGTGTTTTTTTTTAGCTAATGGCTAAGTTTCCTTGCAATTCTATGTAGTTTAGGTTGCATGTAGAATCATTTAAGCTCGACATGATCAATCTTGTTTGTGGAGTGATTCGAATCTCAAACAAGTGTTTGAGATATTTGATCAACAAGAATTATTCAAGCTAGACATGATCAATCTTGCTTGTGGAGTGATTCGAATCTCAATCAAGCGTTCTTCTTGCCTTGAGATATTCGATCAACAAGGTAATCCGAATCTTATTCCCCTTGTATTGATTCCTTATCATATCAACCCCCTTCGGGGCCCATCACAATCCACCCCCCTTTCGAGGCCCAGCATCCTCACTGGCCTCTTTCCTTCCTGGGACCGCCCCTTGGTTGTCTCCAACCAATGTGGGACATCACAATCCACCCCCCTTCGGGGCCTAGCATCCTCACTGGCACTCTTTCCTTCCTCCAATCGATGTGGGACCGCCCCTAAATCCACTCCCATTTGGGGCCAGCGTCCTTACTGACACACCGCCTCGTGTCTACCCCTTCAAGGAATAGCGAGAAGGCTGGAAGGTTTCCAGCCCCTTATAAATGGTGTTTTGTTTTCCTCTCCAACCAACGTGAGACATCACAATCTACCCCCCTTCAGGGCCCAGCGTCCTCGCTGACACTTCTTCCTTCCTCCAATCGATGTGGGACCGCCTCTAAATCCACCCGCCTTTAGGGCCAGCGTCTTTACCAGCACACCGCCTCGTGTCTACCCCCCTTCAGGGAACAGCGAGAAGGCTGACACATCATCCAGTGACTAGCTCTAATACACTCTAATACTATTTGTAACGACCCAAATCTACCGCTTGCAGACATTACAATAAAAATTTCACTATTCTTTCACGTGTTAAATTCCGTACACAGTTAGTAGCTTAAATCAAATCAATACTACAAATCGACACGAAATTGATAAAACATAATCACATTTGACTATGCTCATGAAACCACCACATTTAATTGTTTACAAATAAACACTGAATATTTTCAACTATCACTGCAAGAACACATTTACCGAATTTAATAATCTCACCCTCTGGAGGCACCTAAATCAGCCCAACATCTTATGAACTGGATGGAACAGGAAGCATTTGGACCTACAAATCTCAGCTTTCCCATCCAATTCATACTGTTATTCTATACTCTCCAGGGCAGATAAACTCAAGAAACTCCATCACACTAACCGTATCGCCAGCCCGAAACAAGCGTTTTTTTTTTATCGGCTGCTCTTACAGCATTTAGAGTCTATCGACACGTCAAAGACTCAGCAGCCATTACATATCATCATCTCAATCATTACATAAATTTCAGTTTCGAGTCATCATAGTGATAGTTTTTCTTCACCGGAAAACGATAAGTAAATGATGGTTGGTTGGTCTATGACCAGTTTTGTGACGATGTTCTCTCCGAACCATGCCTTTGGCGAAAGTTGCTGGACCTGATGCTGGGATCAGAAACACTGGCGGCACCTTGATGGATTTCTCCCCACCCTGATGGATGATCTCTCTCCATCTGGCTCAACCCAAAAGACGGTAAGTGATCTCTTTCCCAAGCGTGAAAACGATTCGGTATGGCGTTTTCCGGTTGGAAATTACGACCCCCCGATGCTGATGAGTAGAAGTAAAAGCCATTGGGTTGCTCAGATGAAGAAGCCATGGGTGCTTGTGACAGCCCTCTGTGACTACTCGATCTTCTGGCACCAGAAATTGCAGGTGTGCGAATGGTTCCAGTAGTGCTAGGTTGTTGTTGATAATATGCTTGAAGAGCTTGAACTCGGTCACGAGCACGTGCATTGCTGCCAGGATAGGGAGGAATCATCGACGAAGCGACTGAGCTCCCAACCCTTGCACCAGAACTGCATGAATCAAAAGACCAAGAATAAGTCCTACTCGTACGACACACTTCAAATTAAACCGTTTCTCTCAGTTTCAGAGAAGAGCAACAAGACAACCAAGAACAAGTCCTACTCGTACGACACGCAAACAATAAAGTAGTATGCACAGCTACGAACACGGGTGTCCGGTTCGAATCCCTCCTTGCCTACAATCCACAAAAAAGGAAAGAACCTTTTCTACTGAAGGTTGGGAAAGTGATTCCACAACAAGGCAGGCAATCAATAATGTTAAGAAGACTTTCAACTGGTTACATACAAAATTATGTTTAGACATACCTATGACCAACGAGGAAGGGATGAATTACACTCCCGGATCTCGGTAGTTCGGAACCGACTCTAGTAGCAGATCTTTGGGCAATGGACGCAACCGATGGCTGATCAGCACCAACACGATTGTTCATCGTGGAAAAGGGCGGTGAATGATGCTCCCAATTTTGATAATGAAGATCCACAGCAGGAAATGCATATGAAGATGGCATTTCACTGGGAACTGATGGACCATTCCAATGACTGCTAAAACTAGACGCTTCAGAAGCGCTTGAACTTGACGATGAGGGATGAATAGGACCGAAATAAGCGATATACGGGCAAGGATGAGCGGCAGACGATACTGCCGTATGCTCCGCAAAAATAGCATGTTGTCCCAAAAGGTCATGATCTGCATCACAACATAATCAACCCAGTCAAACTCGGTTCCTTCCTAAACCGAAGCTAAGAAAAGGATCGACGGTTGTCGGGGAAAGGAAGTCTTACAAGCAGTCGAGGAAAAGTCGCCATCCCTGGAAAAGTAAAAAAGGAAAAAGATTCAAGACATCGAGTAGGAAGATTCTGTACTTTCACAACAGTAAAAAACGGCAAGAGACTTTCATTATTTAATAGGTTAAATCAAGAAAGTAACTTTGTAGTGAATTTCTACTAGAGCAGAGCACACAACAGCCTACTATTTGAACTTCATTCATATTTACCCCCACGAATTTCCTTTCCGAATGTTCCAACGGGACCTATTACACGATACAAGGCCAAGAAGATTCAACAAGCATTCATTTTTTATTTACAAAGTTGAATAGACTCAGTTCGATCGTTATTTCATGTGTTACAAGCTGATTCAATTGAGGAAGGACCGTTTGGAGCTTCAAGAGTGAATATTTGCACGATTGAAGTAGTGGATGAAGTTGCTATAACTAGCCCTTAACGAATAATTTGTTAGAAAACTTATGTTATTATTTTAATTCCATAATTTCTTGCCGTAGAAAAAAGGGTGAAAATTTACTTGTCAGAGTGGTCATAACATCTTTTTGTGTGGAGATTTAAAGGGTAGTGAGAGTAATTCACCAATTATGGCCACTAACTTCCTTAGTGGGCATTTAAAGAGTTCGATATTTCTTTTGTGAATAGACTATAAATACCCACAAAATACCATGTAATGAAATTTAGCTCTCAAATCAAGACTCACCCTTATAAATTTGAGTATCATTTTTTGTCATTTATAAATTTCATGCAACTCATGGGGTAAATTACATCTGAGTCATTCAATCAAGCCTTGATCAAGTTCGATTATGGAGTCACTCAATTTAGAACAAGGTTCCAAATCTTACTTCTAGATCTTTGATGTTAAGAGATAATCTAATTCTAGCCTTATTTCTGAGTGATCTTAATTTTGTAAGAGGAGGTATTAATTTCTTTCATTCAAGGGTTCTTGCTCCACCAGAAGCTTAGATCATTGGGCTGGGGATTAGGGTTACCTTATCACTATCTTAGGTGGTTGTCATCCTGGTTCACAAGGACGAAACAACCAGAGAAAGGGAAATGCTCAAACAAAGACCATTTGAAGCGTTATAAGGGTGCAGACGAATGTCGAGCTACTAAAGCTGCAGCTTCGATTTTTTAGCCATTCAATCTCCCTTCTTAGTTAGTATTAGCAAGGGCCTTCTTCTCTTCACCTAGATATATACAAATAGCTGAAGATAACCAGAAGCTCCCGAATACCCCAGACGAGTATCGCCCCCTAGCCTCTTGAATTCTCATTTGGATCAAGTACAGAACTTATGAACGGTAAAGAACATTCTAGGATACAGCTAAAATTTGGATCGACAGGAGTAAAAGAGGCTAGTATTACATGGATATGGATCCTTAACGTCACTCACGAGAAATGTGTGGGGTTCGTCCACGAGTGAAGTCCCTAATGATTAAACCATAGAAATCCACCATACATTGTGCAACTATTGTTGTTCTTGCATAGCCTACCCAAAGGTTCATACTATATTGTTCTTGCATAGTCTACCCGAACGAGGACCTATTCTCAGTCCAATCGATATCTTATATCCGCCATAAATATCCACCATCATGACTATCACGCTCTCAGATGTTCTTCCACATCATTATACTTCTTAAAGGTGGCAGTTTCGACACTAACGCTAAAGTCCTAAATGTCCAAATTGTGCCCTCCGACTAAACCGGTGCATCCTCAGTAATAATTTGTAAGAACGGGGATCGTCGTTTTTAAATCTCCCCTTGCTCTCTCCATGTTCAGTGGAAACTTCTTCAAAGCTTCAACATGAACATATCACTCCCCAACTCATTGCACACACATTTCTTGGAATGAGCAGAATAAAACCTTCCAAGAGATTTTGAGATTTGAAGGAAATATGGGATGGTATTGTTCGGGGTGCTTCCTCGTGAAGCCTTCCGTCCAGAGAACTTAATAACGTTTCTCCCTCTACTATTTCTTCCACTTGGCCTTTTCTGTAACTCCTGGGTAGTAACTATTCACATCAATGAAAGTATATTTTTCGTACTCAAGGAAAAAGGAGAAAAGAAAAAAACGAGCAGCAGAACGACAGAACGTGAACTGTAATGCAGATACGGCAGTTATGAACAGAATTTACCAGGGAGCTACAAACGACGACGTCAACCACATTACAAAAAACACCCATTTGGTCACCACGCACACACATGCATTTAATTCTATTTTCTAAAATCATGTAACTATTCAAGCCCTTATGTTTCTCGATGAGATCAGTTTCTTTCGGAAAGCATGTTCATACGTTTTCAAAACTCAAACGGGTGTCTCAGCATTTAGAAGGAAACGACTTATTTTCTCTCCCTATATAGATAAAAATCAAAACCAATTTATAGAACATGAACAGAACAAAGAAAGAAGACATCAACTTAAGAACTGGAGCATCAATTATCTTTGATCGTACGAGTAAATCAAAACTTACTCAAACGAAGAAGGAAGTCGAGTTAAGCTGCCAAAAGGACACCATTGAACTCCGAAGGCCTGCAGCGAACCAAATTGCAATAAAAAATTGGTGTAAAAAACTTAAATACTATGAGTATTGACCCATTTAGAATATGAACTCCTGCAAGATAAATATATAAACAATTTATTACAAACCCACGTGTTTAAACGGAAATTAATAGCACATGGAAATTTATGAACATCAGCCTCGAACACATTTCAAATCAATAAAGGAAAGAATTTACTCTCACTCGATAGACTCCGTTTTAATAACAACACTTGCTTTCATAATGACATACGAAACTACCTAAGAAGGCCACAAAGACCGGTCGAGTGCTCCACAAACTATATAGAAAAGATCTTCCTGCATGAACCATCAAAACAAGGATGTAGGAGAATTTCCTTGATCACCGTCAATGCCCAAGAGAGCTTTTTTTGTAACAGATATTGTCCTTTTTGGGCTTTCCCTCTCGAGCTTCCCCTCAAGGTTTTTAAAACGCGCCTACTAGGGAGAGGTTTCCATACCCTTATAAGAATGTTTCGTTTCCCTCTCCAATATGGGGATGAGAGCTTTGAACCTATGACCTCTCGATTAAGAGTATATGCCTTATGCACGCTCAGGTTGGTGCAAGCCTCAAGAGTTAAAAGCCAAGGAAATCTACTAGTATCTGAGCATCACCGTAACAAATGTTTAAACGTTTTTTTTTTTTTCAAAAAAGTTTAAAAGGAAAAACAAAAAACACCATTAAGGACCAAATACGACAGCTAAAGACCTTCAAACGAGATCACAAGAATTAATCCTCCCAAGGGGAATAAGTAAAGAACCTTTCCTTTTCCATGATTAACAGTCTCAAATTTGGTTTAATTCCGAACTTTCGTGGCAAAGTTAAAAAGTTTTCAAGTAGGTGAACCTAGGCAATGTTTGGATATATGTGCCATACCAAAGAGATGAAGAAGTCATCTTGTTTACCCGAGTGGAATGTCGACGAACGCAAGAAGATATCCATTTATTGAAAAAAAATCTCCTAGAGTTGAAAGTTATCAAATGTTTTATCTATTAAGGGGAAGTTTCAGAACACGTTTCAAAGCGAAACGAATCATTTCATCACAGATATCGCTTCCTGGTTCATTTAACTTCGTCTTCTTCTTTACTTGATACCCTAGTGATCGAGAATTACGATCGACACACATAACGATACACATACCAATCGATGAAAGATAATCGCTTACCATTTCCGAATAGCTTAGATCATAAAGATCTTCTTCGTGCGTCCAATCATCCATACTAAAATCTGGAAACGACCTACAGCCATTAGCATAAAGCCATTGACCTTTTTCAATCTTCCGGCAATTGGGGCATTGCATTGCCCCCTTAATGTTGAACGCTGAACCAATGCAATCTAAACCAAAATAAAAGAAACACAATCAAGAACGAACCATGAAATATTTTGTATCTAAACCATCTCGTTTTCGCACCAGCTTCGAAATTATGAACAGATCTAAAATCACAAGAACACAAAATCTAGCATTAAATCCCGTCAAAATTGAAGAACACCAAACACAAATCTAATCCGAGAAAAATTTAAAGAATCAGAGGGTATTAGAAGATGGAAACTAACCAAGATGAAATTGATGGCCACATTGAAGCTTAGCCCAAGATCTATCACCAGAATCGGCAACAACATCGAGACAGATCGAGCAGGCGACCGAACCAAAAGACTTTCCACCACCGGCACCACATCCTCCATCGCCATAATCGCCATCTTCAGCCACCGCATCGTCGTCGTTACCCAATCCCATGTGAAGAAAATCACAAATCTAAAAACCCTAATCAGCCAATCGAAGAACAAAACAAAAAAACAAAACAAACAATCGTTCCCAAAATCACGAATCAAGTTCCAGCCAGAGCAAAATTGCTCCAAAAATCGAAGCGAGGGTTAAAAAGGTTTTCTTCAACCAAAAGCAAAAAAAAATAAGAGGTGAAGAACAAACACAGAGAATTTCTGAAAAACAGAGATGTAAGAGAGAGAGGAAGATGGTTTCTTTCTTCTTCAGACAAAGATACATAAAAGGAGGAAAAAGGATTTGGGGATGAAAAAAAAAAATTATATATTTTATCTTAAATGTTGACCGTCCGATTGATTATTCATGTGGACCGTCCGATTGGTTATTGGTAGAGAGAATAATATCAGCCCTCTAAATTTTGATGGACTGTAATTGGTTTTTTTTTTTTTTTTTTAAATTTTTTTTAAATTTAATTGATTTATTTATTAATGATAATTATGTGGGATAAAGAAATTAGGTTGTATTTATTTATTAGTTTTTTTTTCTAAAATTTAATTGATTTATTTATTAATGGTAATTGTGGGATAAAGAAATTAGGTTGTATTTATTTATTTTATTATAGTTTATTAATATATATATATTTTATTTATTTATTTTATTTATTCGTAAGAATATTTTTTTTATTTTATTAAGAATTAAAAGAAAATAATAAATATGCGAACAATAAACTATAGCTTGCCTCGATGTATTCCAACATCATAGGAAACATTTGAGTTCTTTCACATTCAACAAGTACTATTTACCATACTTTTGATATGAACTAAGAGACGTTATTCATACAATATATTTCAACGAAGATGTGAAAAAAATATTGTTGAAATTATCAAAAGATATTTGTACATCGAATAAGAATAAAATTTTACTGTTATAAATTTGGAGTGGATTATAATTTATAATTATTGTAATGGTAGGTTTGACAGGGTGTTATTTCGTTTTAATCTTTTCAATTCATGTTCTATCGAAGAAGAATTCTTATACATGGATTATAATTTAAAATTATTGTAATGGTAGGTTTGACACGGTGTTATTTCGTCCTAACCTAAACTATTTATCCAACGCTATCAAATACATTATTTTGTTTCATTTCTTTTATATATTTTTTTTATTATTTGTAGCTTCTCTATTTCAATTAAAATATTTATATAATTTTTTTTTATTATTATATATATATAGTATTTTGAACTCATCATTTTTAATTTTATGATCTATTTTATCATTTTTATATTTAAGTTATTTTTAGTTTTATAAAAATGTTTAATATGTTACCATTTTCACAGATTTTTTTTAATTGAAATTGTTTTTTTTTAATAATTATAAATTGATTTGTAAACTTTTCATTATTAGAATAATTATAAATTATAAATAAAACTTTTTTTTAAAAAAATAATGTTTTTATAACAATTAGACAACCCAACCTTAATCCAAGAAAAGAGAAGGTTGAGTTAGATTAGGTTGTGAAAATTTATTTAATATATATTAATTATTTTAATATTTATTATATCAAATATAATAAATATATTTTTCTGTTTTAATATATTTAATATATTAAATATCAATTTGAACATTTAATGTATCTAATATATTAAATATTAATTTGAACATTCCAACAAAATTTCAATATAATCGAACTAATAAACAATTTATTTATGATCTAATCATAAACTAAATCTCTCTCGAGCCAATGAAAGGGTGCTACTCCATTGTTCAAATCTCGAAAGGAGCAGAGAATAACTCATCTACTTTTCTTGTATGAAAATGAGTGAATTCCATTTGGTGATATTATGTTTCCACCTCCTTATTTGGTCAAGTCCTCGAAATGGTAGACATATTGAATCAGCTACGAGAGTCATTCTAATCCATGTAAATCAAAGGATAAGCTCTCAGAGGCAAGCGTTTATAACTCACTCAGGATTAGAATCGCATAAAAATCAATGTGAAATATTAATCTTCTCAATTAATTAAATATTTCTTGGTCTAATCTTATACAATCTCAGAATACTCACACTCACATGTTTCCAAATGAACAATTTGGATCAAATCATTGATAAGAATTACAGAGTGCGTCCTATCAAGAGTGTTGACAGGATAAGACCCCAAACCTTATCCATATACAATAGATCATTTACGTTATTACTTGATCATGATTTGTCAGCCTGAAGATTTCATTAATAACCTTAGATTTTCATACCATAGATAATATTAAATTATAAATAAAAATTAAATAATTAATTACGAGGCTTCAAGACATAAATTCCAACACTAGTTAGGTTCATTATTTGATGAATTTGGGAAACTCCAATTTCTTCATCCACAATCCATTTAAAGAATATCATTAGCTCAGTGGCAATAAGAGGGAGATTTTTCATGAAGAAATAGAGAGCCATAAACCTCTATATCGAGTTGTCCAATAAACTCCAAAATCGGGTGGAAAAATAGGGTATGAAACTACGTATCCACACAAACTCGTCCTCCGAAAAGTATTTCTTTAGTTCGAGGAGAAGACGATGAAGAGATCTCATGAAGGAATCGAGGCTAGAAAGTATCTAGAATGTCTCAACCAATTAGAAAAATTATGGGTTTTACTTCGGTAAAGAACATGTTTTCCGGTAAACTTTGGAAGGTTATAACTAGTGCTACGTGTCACGATCATTGCCGCACAATCACAAGTCCGTTGTCATCAAAAGTGCGATTGTAACACTATACACCACAAAAAGGTATGAAATCAATCCTTAACTCTTTCTTATAACTTCATCTAAAAGTTTTATGAAGACATTGAGTGGATTCGAGACCTATATAGAGCTGTACAAGCGTAAAACTAGATGTAGATGGTATGAAAAATTGTGATTCCGAACAACCTCAAGGACGAAGATGAAACCCTAAGTCAATGGCAAAGATCAATAAAAGTCAAATGTAATTCTATTTTGACATTTCCACCGTTTGTATTCAATCTAACCCCATTTCAGACTCGTTCTTATAGATTTCCTTTTGGTTCCTAAAACTAGACACATCAAGGGTCCTATGTAAGAAAATTCAAAAAAATTCGGGCACCAAAAACTCAAAAATCGAGATCTTGAACATCAATTAAGACGTAAGTAGCCAATATAGACTTTTGTTAAGAAATATTTGTAGGCTTCCCTTCGATCTAAAGGATTGTGGAAGAAAAATACCAATAACGATAAGTTAGGGACTCAAACTGACTCTCTCCAAATTAAGTAATGTTAAAATAACTCACTTAATGAACTCCGTTGCTCATGAAATTTCAATGCTGAGTATAATATGATATGTTAAACGTGTATATATATATATATATATATATATAATTTGATTGTCGTTGGATAAGGTTAAGTAACTAAACCAAGTAATAATATAAAATGACCAATTCTCCGATAGTAATGTAAAGCCGGTTAACGACCTAAATGACCTCTAAATGACATGATATTTTAATAAAAGGCCTAAGGTAATATATTAAGGCTATGTATGAAGTTTAGTAGTAATTAGAGTTCGTTTAGGGGCTGAACTAAGGATAAGTGCAAAATGACGAAAATACCCCTACATGCCTAAACATTGGTTTTCAAACTAAATGAACTGAAAATGACCTAAGATTTTATATACGGTCTCTTCTCGAGGGTATAAGGGTTTATGCAAGATTTTAAAGTCATTAGACCACATTCAGGGGTTGAATCAAGGATTTTAGGTAAAATAACCAAAATGCCCCTAGGATAATTGTAAGCCACACGACCTTGAGATGGCCTTACGTTTTAAGTAAGGTCTATATATAATGGTATAAATCTATACGCGAGAGTTTAAGAAATTTGGAACACATTTAGAGTTTAAACTAAGAAATGAGGAGGTAAATGACTAAAATATCCCTACAAAAACTCAAAGATGTTTTCAAGGCCCTAAGGAACTCCAAATGTTATGAACAGTTATTTGAATGTTAGGTAATACTCTAATCATATTCTAAGTGATCCATGACCTCCCACCGCGCGCGGTGCATCACAAGGCTTGTGTCTACTCTTCTAGGTGGGATGCCCTACTCCATGTTTTCCTAGCAGGATGTCGTGTTTGGGTCTCATGTTTTCCCTCACTTAGATGAGATTCTCTATTCTATATTTACTAGTAGATGTCACGTTCATGTTTAGCATTGATCATGTGATATTCTCGATCGTTTATAGGGAGTAATCTAGGGCCATGTTAAACGATAGCTATCAGGTTGACTATATGTCATAGCTCATGATACAAGAAACCAAGATAAGTCCTTGGTTAGCAATAGAGAGTACATTATTCTTACTATGAATAAAAAATGTCCTCACGAGAATTCATGACACTCGTGAAAGACCAATGCATGAAGATGGCTAGGTGCCACTCTAAACTACCTAAGGTCTTCCATGATACTTCATGATCACATGACCATGTCACGAGGGGATGTAGGAGATTTCTGGGGCCACTCGTTATAGGCCGAATCTAAATCCTGACTCGAGGGGACGCTGGAGCCACCATGGGAAAAAATCAAAATCGAAATCGAAATCCCAGTTCACTTTCAAACCAATGATAAGAACATGAACAAGGATCAAGATCCAAGTGTTGGGATTCATGTCCTAAAATCTATGGTATGAAAATCCAAGATCATTAATGTAAACATGATAGTATGTGCTTGACATACAGGAGGATCGTGTTTAAGTAATAACCGAGTCTATAGTATATGGATAAGGTTAGGTGCCTTATCCTGACATCATTATTGATACGACTCACTTTGTAATTATTACAAATGATTTGATCCAAATCGTTCATGTGGAGATATGTGAGCAGGAAGATTGGACCAAGAAATATTTAATCTCTCCTTATAAATCCATTAATTAAGAAGATTACTCGGGTCACCAATCCAACTAATCTAAATTTTCGGATTGGTGGAGTCGCATCGGTTTCTATACCTTTCTCTTTTGATCCTTATTTGTATCGGTTTCTACACCATTGTGATATTCCACATCGGTTGGAGAGGGGAATGAAACATCTTTTACAAAGGTGTGAAAACGTCCTCTAGCGGACACGTTTTAAAAATCTTGAAAGGAAGTCCTACCGAAAAAGTGCAAAAAAAAATATATGATAGCGATAGACTTGGGCCGTTACACTCTAGTAAACGGAAGTATTTAATTAGGTTCTTTTCACATTCC